TTAAAGTCATATACCGGCCTTTTCTTTCAGTCATTTTATAACTTTCCTCATTAAAGAATCTCTTTACATAGTCAATTATTTGTAGGAACACCTGAAAGTTGCAAGATATTATCAAAGAGCATTCTAAGGTATAAGCTCTGCCAGACCTGTTCTGTGGTCTCTGCCTGTATCCTGCCAACTCTGAGATGGTAAAGCCCAGACTGATTGGAGCTACAGAAGCTCCTCCTATTGTTGAAGGTGGCAGAGGAAATTCAAATTGTAGCAGATTTTAATATTAAATAAATGTTATTTTTTTGATCTTATTTGGATTTTAAAAAGTCCTTTGCTCAAAATACTGGTGGATTGTTTAATCTTAAGTGTTATTAATATGACATGGTTTTGATCATTACTTTTTCAAAAATTATATGTATATTTGAATAATACAATGACTTGTAATTGTTATTGAATTATCTATTTTGTCATCTAAATTTTTCTCATCTTGTTGTGAACTGCTTTGAATATTGTTTGCCATGAAAAAAATGACATTTAAATAAACCAGTGCTTAGTCATCTCAATTTGCACAGATCTATATATCCACACTGCATCTACAAAAGAAGGCAAACAACCATGTTATGCTATCTATATTTATATATGTATATTGAAATTTTACATACATTTGTGTGTGCATGCACACATGTGCATCTGTGCATAATTCTATCATCTCTATTTTGTAAAATGAAATTCTAAGACATTTTAGATATTACTTATGTTCCTTGCACCTACCATGTTCTCTACATTTGTGAGTTTGCATGAAGTCGTTGGAAACAGTATAAAAGAGATTTTAGAGGCATTCTTGTGTTATCCACGAGTGTACCAGTAACCATCCTATAAGTGGAAACAGGCCTATCCTCTATTTAATCGTGTATCATTAAGGGTATGATTTGAGGCAAACTAAAGCCATATTTGGTCAGTGGCCAGAATTCTTTTGGTATCTGCATACATTTTACATAGTTTGCAGCTAAATGACAAGGTGTTGGGGTGCATCTTGGTTGCATGTCTTGTCATGTACCCAATTGTACAATGGAGGTATGACTGGCACCTCATTGATTAGCTGCACTTACCTGTGGCAAGTTGTGCCAACTTTACACCAACCCCACTAAGACTGTGAATGTTACTGAATAAACACAAAAACTGTTATTGAAGAGACATGGAAATGCACAGGGAAGAATAGGGCTGGTATGTTTCCCTTCTTTTGCATTTATTCAATAATGGCTTCAGAAGATGTTAATGAAATGGCTGATAGAAGACTGTCAAAGAAATGAAATGGTTGACAGAAGATTGTGAAAGAAATACTGGTACAAACAGGTGACATAAATAGTACATATCAGGCAGATGCAGCATTGTGTGCTTTTTTTACACTGTC